TTTACAACCCTACCAGCAATCACACCAGACCGTCACCCCGAACCTCCCCCCGCAGCTCCGCCGGCGAGCGCTCCCGGGCGCGCCGGGCTCTGCGGTGCCCCGGCCGCATCCCGCGGTCCCTGCCCCTGCGGCCGCGCCGGTACCTCTTTCCAACAACAGGTCTTTTAACCGCGCATCCTTCACCGCTGTCTTGTTAAGCCGCTCACTGGACATGCTCGCCTCCGCCGGGCGGGGGGCTCAAGCCGCTCCGCCAGCCCCTGCGGCGGGCACCGCATCCCCGGCAGCCCCGGGCTCCATCCAGAGAGGGGACACGGTCAGGGAGGCTGCCAGGGAGCCTCCCGCCCGCGCCTCTCCCGGCGCTCGGAGCGCGGCTGCCGCCCCGCAGCCGCCGCCGCCGGAGCGGGCGGGCACGGCCGGCACCGGCCGCTCCCGCCCCGCCGTGCCCCGGCCGCGCGTGTGCGCGCACGCACGGACACCAGGGTCCCGCCGGGCTCCGCGCCCGGGGCGAAACGAGTGAAAAAAAAAAAAAATCAAAAATCCCAAACCACAACAACAACAAAAAGAAAAAAAATTTTAAAAGCAGTCGACCGGCGAGAACAAAAAGAATGGAAAGGCGCTGCCCCGCTGCTGGGCGAGCCCCGCGGGGAGGCGCAGACAGGGAGGGAAGGAGGGATGCAGGAAGGTCCGTACCTGACCGGCGCCGCCGCCGCTCTTTAAGCCCGGCCCGGCGCGGCGCGCTCGGGGCGCCCCGGCTCCGCCGCCTGCCCCGGCCCGCCCGCGCCTGCGCCGCGCCCGCGCCGCCCCCGCGCACGTGCCCGCGCCCCGCCCCGCCCCGCCCCGCCCGCCGGGACGGGCCCGCGCGGGGCCGGCCGCGATCCCGGCCCTGGGCGCTCCAAAGGGCGCCGGCAGCACAATGTCCCTCCAGTGTCACACCGACAGCCAGAGAGAGCCAGGGAGCCTCCCGGCACCGGGTGCCTTATCCGAAGTTCCACGGGCAGCCGTGTGTGCGCGCGTGTGCCTAAAACATTAGGGAGTCGCATCCTGGAGCTATACTGTAAAACCGTAACCATCAGAAGGAGCAATGCCTGTAACCTATGTAAAAATAAAACCTGAAGAAGGAGAGGAAAGAACACCGGGCTCCAGCCGCCTGTGTGTTTCTTTGGCAGAACTCCCAGCTCCAGCTCTGCCTTCCTCTGCAGCCCTGTGCCTGCCAGTGAACCCCTTTGCTGCCCCTGAGCCCCTGTGCCTGCCCCTAAACTCCTCTGCCCACCCCAGAACCCCTGTGCCTATCCCTCAACCCCCCTGGCCGCTCTGAACCCCTATGCCTGCCCCAGCCCAGCCACTGAGGCAGCTTTTTTGGCTGATGAGCACTGCCAGATGGCTTCCTCATCCTGCTCCCCACCGGAGCCCAGCAGCAGGAACTTAGGGCTGTCCCTGCTGCGTAGGAGCAGCACGGTCCCACAGTGTCTCTGCCGTGTTAGGAAGCACCATTAGCACTGTGCTCCTCAATTCCCAGGATGTTCCTGGCTTCACCGTCATGGCCAAGACTCCTCCTGTTCCGAGTTACTTCTTTGGATTATGGTGGCATCCCCAAAGCACTGAATGAGACCAGTGTGTTTATGTGAACAAGAAAAGTGAGTTCACCCTCTGGCCCACACTTGGCCAGGGCCTTGAAGCTCCTGAAAGCAGAGATGGGCTGCAGCACTGGGGAGGCTCCATGCCCCTCTCCCAGCAGGCTGTGGCTGGCTCAGCTCAGCTCAGCTCACAGCAGCACAGCTCTCCCCCACACACAGCACAGGCCCCCAGGATATGCTGCCACTGACCACGGAGGCAGACCTGCTGCTGCCCATGCCTTTCATGTTTCTAAAACCCATGGACCAGCCTCAAATAAAGAGATGCCCTAATTCAAAGAGCCAGTCAAAGTCAAAAAGCCAGGAGGGGAAAGAGACTGAGAGGAGTGGGCTTGCTTGCAGTCACCTATCAAGCTAGCACTATGAAGAGACAGGGGTTTAAAAATATTAGGGAGACGTATCCTTCTATATATATCCACAGCACACAGCAGGGCCTCTCTCCTGGTTACAGGCTATCCCCACTGTCTGGATTTATTAAACTGTTGTTGACGTTTAGCTTGATATTGCAAGGTCTAAGGTCTAAATCCAAACACAACAGTCAAGCTGGAGGACAGTGATTGTGGACTGTAAATAAATATCCTTTGAGAATTCCTAGAAGAGCAGAATGAGTTCAAATTATGTGTCAATAGAATGCTTTTGTGCAAGTGGAGTATTAACCAAGTGCAGCCCTGCTACCAGCAGAGAGAAGTAATTCAGTACAGACAGCAGATGTGGAGCACCTTCAAAATTACAATCTGATTGTCCTTAAACTACTTTGAAAATAATTAATTCAACAGACCAGACTTCTGAACATGGCTGTTGTGTGGGCATAACCACTCAGTACAGAACTGCTGCTGAGGCCAATTACCTTCCTGTTGCAAACTCTTTGTTTTCCAGGACAGATAAAGAAAGTTTCTGAGCCAAAGACTGACCTATATACATCATTCCCCAACCTAGTGTCTAAAATGAGAAGCTGGTTTGAGATGAGTGCAGTTTAAAGACTACAAAGAAAGCACAAATTAATATATTGGCATTAATGCATCTCCTTTACTCATACAATTGAATTGTAGATGTTTAGTCTTCAGTTTCTGACGAGCATTAATACATGACATAAAATAATTGCTTTGGCAAGACTGGGGATTCAGTACATAGACTGGTAACTAACACACTTTACTCCCATTATTGTACAAGTACAGGCACATTGACTGCAAAATGGTTACAGACTTCTGTATCCATAAGTAGCGCACCTGATAAGCATCCTCAAGAACATCCTCAGAACAGTATTTGGCTCATCACCTATATATTATGAATTTATCACAAACTTTTAAATGTGAATCAAGCCCTGTGCCAGAGAGCCCATATAAGCTTCTCTGTCAACAAGAATGGGGGAGCAGCTTCCTACTAAAACTCCAAGTAGCAGGTTACACCATGACCTCTGAGCAGGACGGCTGCTCTGGCGTCAGGATTGAAGCTCCTTAAGCAGGTTCTGGCACAGAGTCATAATGCTTCTCCACAGGCCATTACAAGTCTAACATATTAATGATAAAACCAAGGGCTAGTTAAACTTGGTAACAGGTGAAATTTTATGAAGGACATGTTCACTGATCTGTCTCTTCAGATCATTCTGGGAAAACAAAAGACTCATTCTGGAACCCACAAAAACAAAATCAGAATTTTTTTATTTTACTGTTAGTAAAGATGTTAATCTTAAGTGTAAAGAAACAGTCATGCTTTGGTGACCAAAACTGCACAGATACTGTTTTCTCAATATGAGTTTTGCATTTCTGCTACTTCTCCCTTTTTTTCTCTGATTCCCTAAAGACATTACTGACTGTGGGCAGGTTCTTGGCCACTTGTGGTACTTTGAAGAGTAGGAGAAAACCTGCAGTCTTGAAATTGGACAATAAGGGGGTGTTTCCTCCTGCCTGCAGCCAGCTCCTTGGGGTCACTCACTTGGGGAGCCCGAACAGTGGGTGTGTGTGCAGAGGTGCTTCCCCCTCCCTGCACCATCAAGCAACTTCAAGGCTTCAAGTAACTGCAGAGGCACCCATTGAAAGCCCCATGCCCCCACCTCTCAAACTGCCACCACTTGGGGGAAATTTTCACCTTTCTGATTAAATCCTGAGTTTAAGTTTGTCAGGAAAAGACAGAGGAACGGCACCAACCAAAGGAAAGAAAGAGCGCTTTTCTCATAGATAGTGAACTTAAGTAAATTATTTGCCAGTAGTATGTATCCAGATGTATTATGTTGTGTTTAATGTGATTAGGTGCAAGGAACAAGCAGATGGGAGCACTGTGGAGAGATTAGCAACACAACCCAAAAGAAGTAAAGTTGGTGGAGAGAAGAAGACAGGCCTCTAAATTAACTCCCTGTTAAAGCTGTTCTTTACTCTCCAGTAATAAGAAGGATTAGGAAATTCAAGTAGTCCTTCATATGTATAGTTGGTTGCACAGCCTGAGTGATCCCTGTGTTGGCCACGCATGCAGTGGTTTGTTTTCCTCTGCTGGAAGGAGGGTTCAATCAGGGACACTGAATTATAACATGCTGATTTAAAAGTAATCACCGTTTCAGACCTGACTAGCACTGGCTCTGTTTACACTGGTGAGTGAGAAAATCTCCTTATGAATTATCCCCACTGCAGTTCTATTAGTCCTCACATGTTGGCTCGACATAGGTAATTTACAGTCGTCTGTTCCAGCAGGGTTAAATGGTACAGTGAGCATAATGCCTGGCCCTGCTTACCCTGGAGATCACACTGCTGGTAACTTCGATGCTCCCCTGCCACTGCTGAAAAACAGGTACAGAATTTCCTGGTGCTGATGCTTGAGGAATGAGAAGCTCTGGACAGGGAAAGGCAGCTGTAAATATGAGGAAGATAATAAATTCAGACTATTCAGACCAGGAAAACATCTCTGAGGGGACAAAGTCACTGGGTGTCTGAGAACCAAAATTTCCCACCATTAGGGTGAATATTGTGATACAGTGACTTCCATGTGTTTTAGTCCTTGGCTACTTCCATCCTCCATTTAGTTCTGTCCAAAATTAGTGAACAAAATCAGCTGCGCTGAAAATACTGCACCTCCTTCCATCCTTAATTTTGATCACATTCCACAGCTTTTGTCACATTTTGAGCTCAAATCAACTAAGTGTAAAAATGAGCTATTTAAGTAAGAGAAAAGGCAAGAAAAGATCACAATATTGTTTGTTTGGGCTTTTTAAAATTCTGGTATTATTCAGAGCTCTCCCAGAAGTACTTGCAGTTAGTACCTGGTACTGGAGTCTCTGGTAGTAGCATGACTACTCTGCCTAAGCTCCCTGTGGTTTCCAGGCAATTCCCAGCAAGTACAGGAAAGAATCATCCTTCAATATTAATTTTTTTTTTTTTTTATGTTCAAGCAGGAGCTAGAAGAAATGCACTAAGGACCACATTAAAAAGCTGAGAGATCACATAATGCATTATCCTGCCATAGGAATGGATGAAAGTTAAATAAGGGATAGAATTAGCATGGATGCTAGAATTAAGCATATGCAAAAATCCACCTCCAACACAAAACTGAAAGCCCTGTTATAGAAGTATAGGTTGCTAAATAAGCTATTAGTGGTATTTTAGACGCACAAAGAATGTTCATTCTTCCACTAAAGAACATTCTTCAGTTACAGAGAGTCTCCTGCCAGGTGGATTATTCGCTCCATAAATCTCAATTGCCAACAAACTCCCTGGCAGCCAGGAAAAGAAAACAACGGGCACTCAACTGCAGGTTAACAGACTATCAAATGTTTTAGTACTTTCTGACTAAAGTGTATGCAAAGACTTCAAAAAGCTGGACAGTGCAGAAAGATCCCAAGGAAACCCAGCAAACCTGGTCTAAGAAAAAAAAAATCTAAGGGCAAGACAGAGCAGAGATAAGAAAGGAAAGCAGAACCAGGATTACAATACAGTACTAAAAATACAAGTAGAATGTGAAGAGCTGTATTTTATTTCTGACATTAATATAATCAGCTAGTTTAGAGCTAGAAAGCTCTGCCTCACTGATGGTACTGTCTTGTACCTGGAAGTAAAGGATGAAGATAGAACCTGCAACAAGTATCTGAAGAGATATGGGGAATAAAGGGAATCAACAGAATGCAAAAATTCAAGGTCAGTGATGAATAAAAATAATGTTTTTAAAGAACTACAATGCCAATATAAGCTTGTGTTCACATTTAAAAGTGAGGAAAGGAAAGACTTCAATACTGGTAAATGAATCTACATGCAAAACAAAAGAATTTGTTTTCTTTCATCCCGCAGTTTCCTTATCATTTGTCTTGCAGCATTTACATACATGCTGTCTGGATGTGTAATCATAAGGGAAATTAACCCTGGATAACCCCATGCTGCAGCACGTTTACAGAAATTGCTCTAGAGAAAACAACCCTAGGAATAAAATGAGGGATGTTCAAGCCATTGGAAATCAAGTGAGTCACAGACACGATAGGTCTGAAGGATGGGAAAAATCTCTTTATGAGAACATGCCATTAAACATTACAATCAAGCATAAAATTGCTCTGCCACAGTATTTTGTTTTATTTGCATTGTTAAATTTCTTCTCCTAACAATAATGGATAGTTTATAGCACTAATGATTTATACAAAAGGAACTGTGTAAATGCATCCCAAATGGGTGCCTTCTTTCTTAAGAACCACAGACTCAGTTTCCTTCAGCTTGATCGCAGATCGGTGACTCACACAGAATTCACATCTGCCTCAGGATACAATGGCGCAGCTTCTAATGAGGTTTCACGATGGATTAAGCTCCTATGGTGCAAGAGAGGTGTAAAAACTTATGCCAGTTTAAAAAAGCACACTGCATTTCCACAAATTGCCATGGTGCAAGAACTACAGAGGCTGTCTGCCATTAGCAACTGTTCTCACATTGCTAAGTGCATAACTTCTGGCTTCTGCAAGACCACTTAAAATAAAATACATGACTGGAATGCAATTTGTGTATGTCCATGCACAGAAATACAAATTTTCCCCAATAAATCAATGTAATTGATCACATTGTACAAGTATTCAAATGTGTCTGGTAAACACATTCACCTCATTTGCAGGGCAGCCTCAAATTAGGTGAGGATTGAGATTTTGGTGGGCAAAATGATTTGGATTTCATCTAGTTTATAACCCTCTTTATGACACAACAGAGTAATCTATTCCCAATCCACAGCATTCCAAAACAGTAGTCAATCTCCCTCAAATCAGAATCCAGAAGAGTGACAAAAAACATCCCTATGGGATCCACCTAGATCTTATCTTTCCAGAGTGTCCTTGATCTTTATGTCAAAATTAAGGTATTCATTCATGCATGATTTCAGCAGCTGAAGCATTAAGAAAATAATTTAATTTAAGGCAAAGTCTTGAGAAAGGACAACACTGGGAATAAGAATCAGAATCTAGTCAAGATTTCTTAGGCCAACAAGAATGAGAATAACTGGAGATAAAAAGTACTGAGGTCATGGGGAAGTATCAGGAAGTTTTTAATGTACTTCTTTTCTGACTTAATGGACTAAGTCAGTGTGTGGGAAATAGACCTCAAGCAGGAGATGTGAGGAGGAAATAGGAGAAGTCCACAGAGAATGTCAGTTGTCAGATGCTTCCTGCAGGTTTTCCATAACCGCTTATCGGGAGCCAGTTTTAACGCATCATCACAGGCATTCCTCAGCAAGCAGCAGCGTTTCTGTCACTTCCTTCAGACTGGAAAAGGAGTAAGACTTCCCAAAAATACATCTTCTAGAAAAGAGGAAATTAAGCGAGTAAGCTCAGCACTCAATGGGAATGGGATACCTCACTGTTACTTGTGAAAAGCAGACCTCTGAGTAAACCACCAGCGAAACGACAACCACACTGCAGAAGCTACCAGGATATTTTTACCACAGCAGAATATGTTATCTTTTCATTTTGAAGAAAGGCAATAAAAATTCATAAGATTCATGTTCTGCATTTAAAGAGAAAAGCTTGGTAATACAGCATTCAGACCACATGGTTTTTAACATTACCATGAATGGTCTAAGTTCTTCAGTCTTCTGACATGTTCACAGGGATGGTGTTTACGTTGACTTGTTCATAGTACATCATATCACATTTTAATGATTCAGTTCACTCTGACAAAAGGAAACATCTGCCATAAATTTTTTCTTTCGTGAACTTTATCACAATTAAAAATCTGACGTTTCACCAGCCTGTGTGCCAACTGAGAAGAACGCCAAGTTCGGCACTTCCCGATACATACAAATGAGTGCGGCATGAACAGCTAGTACCAACAGCACCAAGCCATCACTGACTTGTCAGCTCTCACCACAAAAGAGAAGAAAGATCACAGTTTGTGGGCAATAGTTTTATAATCTTGATCTGGTTTCCATATGACAGAGTGCAAGAGAGAGAAAGCAAAAAAAAAAAAAAAAAGATAAAAAGAACGTTTTGCAGCTCTGTGTGATGACAACATAAAATTTCTATGTCTTGCCCTATTGCAGCCAGAAAAATATTAAAACAGCATGTCAAAACTGGCACATCGCTTCTAAAAAAATGATTTCCAAACATTGCTTGATGGACAGCACCCTAGCAACTCGATACAAAGCTTAAATCTGCATCTATTTTACATAAAATGAGACCAATCCTACCCAAGGCAATGACAGAATTCTCTTTTTCAGCAGAATTAATGGTATCTTCAAACTCAAGCCACCTCTGAGACACTACAGGTGACAAGAAGGCAGTTGACCATTTACCATGAGTACCACCAATCTCTTGTAACCTGTGTAAGGGCAGGCTAACTTTTGTATTTTTAAGCAGTTTAAATTACACCGTCATTTCAGGAAGCCAGGAGCCAGGAGCAAAACCAGCAGCCATGCAGTCCTAGCTCATACGTGGAGTAGCAGAAGGAAAGGAAAAATGACCCTGTATACAGAATATACAAGACTGCCTACAAAGTATGCCATAGAAGCTTAGGGATCAGAGATGCATCATCTACTAGCTGTAGATCAGACTGAGACTGAGTTTCTCTCCATAACTCTGTCATAGTCCTATTAGTGACCTAAGGCAAGTCCTTTCAGCTCTTCCTGCCTGTCATCTCTATTCTTCACTCTCTTGGTATCACAGCAGCACCTAGCAGCGCTTCCACAGAGCATGGCCTCACTCACCTCAGCTTTCACACGCGGTCCACTGCCAGTGCCATATGTCATTTGGGCTGCTAAGCTGCTTTTGAAGATGACATGTGAGCATCAAAATCACAAAGATGCATCTGCAAAATCTGCCCAGTGATAAGTGGATGGGTGCCTTTTCCCAATTTACAAAAGGCTGGTCCCAAGGGCCGCAATGGTATTTTCCTGTGTGTGACAGCAAAAAAAAATCCAAAATTTGCTTGAAATCTTACCAGATGCACTGGGAAATGATAGCTAATGCATCTCACAGTTGGTTGGCTGGTATTTTTGGATGGGAGGCTGCATTGCAAACTACTTCATCCTGTATTCCCACTCTGTACAACTGCACATCCGACATTGTACTGACTCACCGGTATCATTTTTGTGCAGCCCACTGAAGAGATAACACTACACCCCATTTGGGTGGGGCAAGGCTTTCTGGGTGAACTGACTTGTTGGAGAGGAAGTTTTGAGAGTAAGATACTTATTTTCAGGGTCACAGAGAAACCATGATGTCCTGTGCGTGCATGCAGAGCAGGAAAAACATATCCACTCCCTCTCACTTCTTCATGTTACCCCATTGGGGCAGCAAAACTACTGATGCTTCACATTTGGTGCAGCCCTAATTTTTAATACAAAATGTGGTTTTTCATTAGGATTAAGGTAAAGGGTTAAAACCAAATAAATCCAAGTTCTTCTGCAGCCTTCAGGGAGAGGGCTAAGCTTTGTGCTTAGCCTAGGAGGGGATGCTGCCCACAAAGCACACCTTCCGGACTGCCTCCAGGCAAACCCAGGGCGGACAAAGCCTTCTGGAGAAGCAAAGGGCAGAGAGATCTCTCCATCATCCTTTCCACTCTGGGATCAGGGGTCTCTCCCACACATCTGATCCTCTGAGTTTTAAGTCAAAGCTGCAGAGTATCGGCCTGAGCTAGGCAAGCGTTTTACAGAGCTGCTCTGTGATCCCCTGCCACAGGCGCCGCTTCACGCATTCGTGCAATGACTCCAGAAACAGCCTTGACTGCTCACCCATTAACTGTGAGGTGCGAGTCAGGTTTGCCCTGCTGGGAGACAGGCTATTTTTACCACACTTAGGATGTGCTGTCACAACGTTAAATCCCAGTCACAGATTTACCAAAAGCGCTAAGGGGATTTGTCCAGGATTTCAGGATGCCGGTATCCTGATCTGCATAGCAGCTCAGACCAGGCTTTTTGCCATTCATAAGTCCCAGACAAATGACTGGGACTTATGACTGAGAATGTGCAGCTTGCCAGCACAGCGCATGTCCAGCGAGCACGCGGGGTCTGGGATGCGTCTGACACCAGAGGCATGTGCCGGCCGCTTGCACACGGCATCCCAGCCTTCCCCACGCACCGCGTGCCAGACTTCACCCAAAACCTGGGTGCAGGTGTGCACCCTCTGTTCCGTGCACCACGCCTGGGCACACCACACCACCAGGACCACACATGTGGCTCGTGGGAAAGGCCTGGCCACACAGCCCCTGCCCTCAGGCAGGGCAGTATTTACTCCCCGCACATCCCACACCATTCCTGCTTTCTGGTGTCTCAACCAAGTGCAGCACAAACTTGCAAGTTTACACCCTGCAGCAAGAGCTTCCCAGTTACTTCTGCCCTCAGGGATCCAATCCCCTGGCTGTGGTAGGTATTCAAAAGGGTCTCCTGGGAGAAATCATTGATGGCTCATGGATAAAGTCTGAGTCTTGGATAAAGTCATGGATAAAGTCTAAATTGCTGTCTGACACTCAGGATGGTGATGCTGAGGTGCTGCCAATACCTTACCTGCCATATTTCCTGCCTTGAAAGCTGCATGTCATCATATTAGCACAGTTTTGCTAAGTGAATTAGAAAAGGCACACCCTTTCCAGAGTATATCCTGGATTTTTTTAGACACTCCAAATACCTTGCTGTTAATACATCTGGTCTCTGATTTACACACCGAAGGCAGGAAGAAGGGAATTGCTCAAGCCAAAGCTGTCCATATAAGAAGCATGAATCTGTCATACAACCCAAACTGTCTCTCAGCTTCAATCTATCCTTTTTTGGGCAGAAATAGCTTAGAAATTTTTAATTTAAAAACACTCTGGTGATTTTTTCTTTATTTCCTCTTGTATTTCTTGCTCTGAAAGCTCAGACTAATACTTTTTGTTCAATGTAAGTGCCTTACCCAAAGCCAACTTAAACCTGAACACCTCTAAAAATTTTCAGGAAGGTGGTTTTCTGTTTTACATTGGGGGTTTGGTGTTTTTTTTTTTGTTGTTCTGCTTTTGAGGTCTGGTAATGGGAGGGGAGGGTTTAACTCTTAGAGTTAAGAGTTGTGGTTCGCAGTATTAGAGGTTAGAATTGTGGTCCCCAGTGTTAAATCACAAGATTTTGAAGGTCTGGTCCTCTACTAAAAGAAATTTGTTCTTTTTTTTTTTTTTTTTTAGCACAGTGTGAATTTTTGTCACCTAAAAAACTGCATCCCAGTTTCCGAAATGTTCATGTTTTATCTTTTCTGCTATATTCCGCTGTTTCTCCAGTTAATACTTTAACATCCTGCCTGAAACTAAAGCAGTTTTAGATTCTGCATTGCCTACACATTTTGTCATTTCTAACACGACAGTTCTGTAACCCATTTGTTTTCTCAGTGCGTCTTTGAGCATCGCTTGTACTTCACAGTGCAGATGTCTAATGCAGATCAAGGCGGGCGCTGCAGCATATTCTGTTCCAAAAGACATCCCCACCTCCTCATTTGTTTTGCAACATGGCTATCAAAGCACTAAATAAATAACATAATAGTTAGCATATATCTATTGTCTTACATATTCTGCATGGTTTATATATATTATCTAATGTCTTCACTCCTGTGGAATAGGTACAGAAGTGATCTCTTTATATAAACTGTGGATACAAAACAAGTTAATAGCTAAACTAAATAATCAGATCAAAGCTCTCAAATTTCTGAGGCCAAAATAAATCTCATTTACAATGAAGAACACAAAAAAAAAAAAAATTTCAGACCACCTCTTGCAAACAAATGACATGTACGCTAAAGTTTGATCACAGCTTTTTCTCTGTGAGCCTCTAGCCCAAATCTGAAACCTGAGTTCTCTCCGTTAAAGCTCACACCCAGAGGCATGGCTCACTGGTCAATGCAATCTTCAGAATTTCCCATCTTGAACAATTTATTTTCAGGAACAAAGCCTGGAAGAGATCCAAACCCCGCATGTGGATTGGCAGCAGCTCAGGATGCTGTCTAGGTGTGTCTGGCTTGCCCAACTAACAACTCTTTCCAGTTCCTCCATGCAGAGCATACTTGTGTTTCACCATACTGCAGAAAGCCACCCATAAACTTCTACCCCCTCTTTTCTAAAAAGGACACCAGTTTCTCCCACTAGATCCCCAGCTCTTTGGGCTGTCAGACACTTTGGGGTTTAGCTGGTAGCTTAGAATTCAACAGCGAATGTACGGTTTAGAATTTACAGCTGGGAAAACAATTTCCCAAAATATCTGTATGAATGCAATGCAGAAATATGCCACATTATAACAGTGAGTATTCTTTCTCAAAATGGAAGTGTTAAATTTCAAGCACAGCCCTATGCCTCAGATGAGCCAAGAAACTTCTGAAATGAGTAGCAGGCCTTGCTCAGCACCCTGTGTGGAAAGCAGCCTCTTCCTTCCTGCTCCTCTTGCACCTCCAGGTAGCCCCAGCACAGCAAAGCAAAATTTCTCAGCTGTGCTGTTAAGCCAAACTCCCCTCAACATTGTTATCAGGACAGTGTTTGCCAGCCGCTACCATCAAACTGTTAAATCCTGAAATGGGTCAGTCTGAAGGTTATTTGTATCATAGAATCATTTAGGCTGGAAAAGACCTTTAAGATTATTGATTCCAAACACAAACTGATTTTTCATGTGCAGAAACACATAGGGAAACAAACAGTAATATTAATCTGTTCAAACAGCAAGAAGTCCCCTCCTCCCCCTCCCCCATGCACAAAACTGCAAAAATTAAATCCATAAGGACACTTATAAAGCATATCTTATTTTGGGGAGAAAACAAAAGTGACTGACACAGTTATTTGTCAGCGCTGGTAAATAAATTTGCACGGCTTACAATGTTTACCCTGGAGTACAGCTGAAAGATCCATTCGTGCTGCATTAGAAACCCGCCTCAATGACAAACTTCAGCTCCCCGCTCTAGCAAAGCTGATGTATTGACTAGACAGGTAGATATTAGGTGCTCCGACTGTCTGGATGCTATGGAAATCATGCCGCATGCATCTGACCGTTGTCAGAGGCAGAAGACAAGCGCCGGCCTCATTCTTATTCTAGCCAGGAAAAAGGCCTCGTCTGCATTAGCCTTTTTACTGAAAGGCTGCCATATTTGTCAGTTCAGACGCATGTAAGATAAGCTCTTTCCCCGTTATCTAATATTTCACCAGGCAGTGGAAACGAAGGATAAGCAGAACCTAATAGTCTACGTGGGCAGGAGATCTTGAATGCTGTCAAGCTCAGCACAAGGCCTGGATGCCCTAGACAAGGGGAAGTTTACAGCAGGAGTTAATCACTTCATTTTGAAGAAAAACTCGCAGGGATTTGGAGAAATGGCTAGGACTTATCCTGGCTTCACAGCAAGCAAGGAGACAAGCATAAAACCCTTAGTGCAGCATTATCCTCAGGGCCTCTCCCCTCTTGTAATGTAGGTACTGCTTGGCTAGAATTCCAGCCCAGTCAAAGGAGATTAAAGAAAGAAGCTGGAAAACCGCTGCTTTTCCTAAGCAGCTGGACAAAACAGAAGGACAGGCAGGGAGAAGCAAAACAAACAAAAAAAATTCTGCATTCTTGAAATGTGCTGGGCTTATCAGTCCCTTGTACGGCAGCTAGCAGAGATACCAAAAGTACTGCTGCAGTCTGATTTACCTACATTTCTACATTCCAAAACTGCCCAAATTGCATGCAGAGCTGGTAACAACCTGGCAAAGAGATCAGAAAGGCTCTTGCTCAGTCGCAGGACTCCTTAGCAAGCACATATTTTAACAGGCTTTTCTGCTGCATAATGTGAATACGACAGTGCTAAGTGAATTCCAAATAAAATTAAGATAGCCTGTTTCAGAGCGCATAGAGTAAGTCTGGTTTAACAGCATGTCTTTTTAATAGATACACCATTTCAAATAGTAGTAACTATACGGTCACACCGCTCCCTTTTAATGCACTGACATGAGAATCCAACCATATTTGGTGCAGCCCCAAGTATAAGCTCTACAAGTTGTTCTGGCTCATAATGAATGGTCTAGCTCTGCCCAAACAATTCTGTGGGGTTTCTTTCCATATGGCAAAAGTGGAGCTTTTGGGCATAACTGTTCAGAGGTGCCCTGCCAAAATGTATGCGACAGCCTTTAAGGGAAGGGTTATAACACACGTGTGGGATGTGTTATCCAGCATCCCTCTGCTGCATGTTCCCAACCCACTGCCCACTCTTTAAACCACCACCTAAGTGACACCGTGAGCTGTGTTCTGTGCATGGACCCGTAACGTCAATGCTGCATTTAATACCTCATGTGGTCACCAATAATAATTTTGACCCTCCCTGGAATCAACAACGCTTTGGCTGTCAACAGCAACAGTCCCAGGATAGCTGCTGTCAGCAGCAGCACACCACGTGTACCCGCACGTGACAGCAGCTCTGCCGTGTCGCCCACCTGCTCCCACTGTGTGATGATGGGGACTACACAAAGTCACAAGAAACCTATTCCCAGGGAGTCAAGTGCTCCTTGGCGTCAGCACTCGCCGTCCTCACGGAGTAGGCCAACTGGGGGAAGACGCATGTGGCATGTGAGCCCTGCAAGGAAAACAAAGCCTAGCCTGCGTCTAATTTTAGGCTTGGCAGCCCTAAGGATGTTCTGGGCTGTCTTTATCTTTGGCTTTTCCAACTCCTCTTCCTTTAAGGCCATACCCTTAAAAGCCGTTGTGCTGCCTCTTGCCCCAGGTCTCTT